CACAAGCCAAGCTCTCGAGTGTCGGTGGATGATGATCGAATGTGTTCCAATGTGCAGGTGTTGGACACTCGTCAAGAGCTGGCTCCGCTGCAACAGCTCAAGTTCAGACCCCTGGATGTCTGCATGCACCAGGTTCATCTTGCCGAATGCACGCAAGAGGGAGTCAAGCAAACGTCCGGTGGCAAAGGCCTGGTACATGGAAACACTGCATAAACGGTACATATCATTGCGCAGCAGACAATGGATGGTACTATGTGGCATGGACCTTTAGGGTCTATTTGGCAATCCTGCTGGGCTTTGTACTTAAACTGCAACAACACCACGGCGACAAGGACGACGACGACTCGGTTTAGCACGACGACGACTGGGTTCAGCACGGCGACGACAAGGTCTGGCACGACGGTTACATCGGGAGGCCGAAGCGTGTACAGTGTAAAGGTCTCGACAGGAGTTTACGGGTCTAGGGTCTTAGCTCCTAACTATGGTTTACCGGGGTCAGTATACTATGGAAGATCTAAGGTTTGGAGTTTATGAGGATTTAGATGGTTTTACGCTCTCACAACTCGGGCATGCCAGGCGACGTTCCTGTGCTGGTTTTAGGGTCTATCACAATGTCCTCCCGTCCCTCTCGCGCCGGGAACCATCAAGAATCTGTCTTGTGTATCACTCGTCCTGTTTCTTTCTCTCACCGTTCCTCTTCCTGCCTATCCACTCTGCCGTTTGTCAAGAAGACACAGAAATTGAAGTCATGACAGAGGAATAGGCATGAAGATGGACGAAGTGAACTCTTCATTCTCTCGTCTCTCCCTTCTCTCCTTCCTTTGATTGATCCTTTTTCTGTTTCTTTTCTTGTCGCCTTCTGCTTTCAATGACAGGGGTAACACGAGGGAGGTCTCGCTTCCGCTCTCTCTCTCTCTCTCTCTCTCTCTCTCTCTTTTTCTCGCTCTGTCTTCCTCTCTGCCGTGTCTCGCTCTCTCATCTCTTCTGTCCCCTCTTTCCTTGCTCCGTTGCTGGAAGGAATCGAAAACAGAAGCGAAGACATAAGATGGAGGAAGATGGTTGGGAGAAGGAAGGTGGATTCCTCCCTCAGTCGGCTCCTTGATTTTTTGGCCCCTGCCTTCTTTTCTCTGCTCCTATCCTTCTTCACAATTAGAAGGAGAAGCGACAAGAACGGAGAGCTCAGGGAGAGCAAGTGATACTGTTCCTCATAATCTCCTCCTTCCTCGTGTTCATTGCGTTGTCCATCTCCCCCTCGCTCTCTCTCTCTCTCTCTCTCTCTCTCTCTCTTTCTCTCTCTCTCTCTCTCTCTCTCTCTCTCTCTCTCTCTCTCTCTCTCTCTCTCTCTCTTTTCTCTCTCTTTCGCTCTCTCTCTCTCTCTCTCTCTCCCTCCATCCTTTCCTCTCTACTTCTGCACATTTACTTTTCCACTTCTCTCGCCTGCTACATTATGCTTGCTTTGATACTTATCTTTAACTTTCTCTCACTCTCTTTGTCCCATCGCTTGCCCTGTTCCTTCTCCTCCTCCCTTCCCTGCCTCCCGTCCTTCTCCCCTTATCACTCAGAAGGAAGAAGGAAGACTCACAAGGAGAAAGACAAGGGAGTAAGAAAACAGACAAAACAAACGAGAGAGAAGGAGCCATAAGGGACGAAATACAGAAACAAAGAGAGAAACTAAGGGGGAAAGATAATCAAAAAGAGAGACAGAAAGAGGAGGCGATGCATAAAGCAGCCGACAGTGCCTTGACCTCCACGTCTATTCATTCTTTGTTCTTGTCCTATCACACTGTCTCATTGGTGATAAACCAGGAAGAGCTTGTGGAGGGAGACGAGGAAGAAGTGTTCTCCTCTTCACTCACCTTGTGCCCTTCCTCTCCCACCGCTCGCCCGCTCTCCTTTCTTTGATTTTCTTGTCTGGCGGAAAAGTGGGAACCAGGAAGGAAAGTGGAGAAGGGAAAAGACGAGATTGAGAAATGACAGAAAGAAGAGAGATACAGAGAGAGCGAGGGAGAGCTTCAAGCCCAGCAGAGGAAGAAGAGAGAGGAAGATAAGGGAAGGGGCAAGGGGTGGCCAGAAGAAGCGCAAGCCAAAGCTACGTATTGAAAGGGCGGAAGCCCCTTTCTCCTCTTCTTCCTCTTTGCTCTCTTATTTTTCTCTTAGCGCAGGGCATGCATGGAGCTAGGAAAGGGAAGGGTTCAAAGCGGATGAGAGAAAGTAACGGAGAGAGCTGTTCTTCGTCCCTTTCACCTCCTCCTCTCATTCTTCTGATGCTTACTCATGTCAGAAGGGTTTGGAAAGGAGTGAAGGCTAGGGCCAGGGCATGGACTGAAGCGAGGCAATAGGTGAAAGTGGATAAGAGAAAGTCATAGACAGAGAGTGCGGGAAGTCGAGTGCGAAAGAAAGAGAAACGAGGAAGACTAGGAAGAAGGACACAGAAGAGGAAGCCAGAGAGTACCAGGGTTGCCGTATCTCAAAGGATTCCGGGCCTCGCGAGGGCTTTGAGGAGGCTTGTAGGCGCCTTCAGACACTTCCACAACTTTCTGGAAGCCACCAACTTCCTCCCTAAGGGGGCCTCCCGAGGACATGAACACCAAAACCGAGTATAAAGAAAGCAGGGGGATGTAGAGAAGCAGAGTGTGGTAAGAAGGAGCAAGGAGAATCAGTTCGCGTCTCCTCCTCTTTTCCTTTTTGAATGACCAGAGGAAAGAAAAGGATAAGGAGGAAAGGCTCTGCGAAGACATATGGAAAGAAGAGCAGACAACAGAAAGGAAGCGGTAAGATGCGGGAAGACGGTTCGGAGAAGAAAGGAGAATTCCTCCTTCGCTCGCCTCTCTTACTTCCTTGCCCTTTGCCTTCTTCCTCTTCTCTTACCCTACTCATCTTCATAAGGAAGGAGAAATGAAAGAAACGGAGAGTTCAGGGCATGCAAAGGGCACTCTTCTCATCACCTCATCCATCCTCCTTTTCATTGTTCTCTCCAGATCCCTCTTTCTCCCTCCCTCCCTTCCCGTCTACTTCTGCACATTCCCTTTTCCGCTTCTCTCCGCCTATTATGTTCGCTTGGAAAGAATCGCTTGCCCCCTATTCCCTATTCCTTCTCCTCCTGCCTTTCCTGCCTCTCGTCGAAGAAGGACAATTCACAAGGAAGAAGACAAGGGAGTAAGAGAAAGACAACAGAAGCTGAGAGACAATCCGAGAAGGGCAGAAGAAGAACGAGAGCCATAAGGAAACAAACACAGAAACAAAGAGAGAAAGCAAGAGAGAAAGACCAGCAAAAACAGAGGCAGAGAGCGAGAGAGAGGAGGGGAGGGGAAGCGATGCAGAAAGCAGTCGAAAGTGCCTTGCTTGTCCTATCTCACCGTCCCATTGGTAAAAAACCAGGAAGAGGTTGTGGAGGAAGACAAGGAAGAAGTGTTCTCGTCTTCACTCACCTTGTGCCCTTCTTCTCCCACCGCTCGGCCGCTCGACAGAAAGAAGAGAGTTGCGGAGAGGGCGAGAGAGAGCTTCAAGCCCAGCAGAGGAAGAAGAGAGAGGAAAATACGAGAAGTGTGGAGGAAGTGGCCAAAAGAAATGCTACGTAATGAAAGAGGGAAAACCAGTTTCTCCTCTGCTCTTCCTCTTTTCTCTCTTATTCTTCTCGGGCATGCATGGAGCCAGGAAAGGGAAGGGGTCAAAGCAGATGAGAGAAAGTAATGGAGAGAGCTGTTCTTCGTCCGTCTGACCTCCTCCTCTCATTTTACTCATATCAGAAGGGTCTGGAAAGGAGTGAAACTGAAGCGGGGGAATAGGTGAAAGTGGATAAGAAACAATGTTAGACAGCTTGCCGAAGGCGGCCAGCTCGCAGCTTGCCTGCGGCCTGGCCTGCTGAGCCTGGTGGGCTTTTGAAGGTGGGCAGGGGCCTGCTGAGATCCGCGGCCACCACGCCAGGCTTGCTTTGAGGCAGGGCCAGCTGGGGAGCCTGGCCGGGCTGAGTGGTTTGGGTGAGTGAGTGGGGAGAGGGTGGAGAGGAACAGGGAGAAGAGGGGGGGTGGAGAGAGGAGGTAGAGGGAGCGAGGGGTGGGAAGAGGGAGGTAAAGGCAGGTAGGGGCAGGAAGGAAAGGGGAGCAGAGTGAGATGGCAATCAAGAAGGGTTACGGGTGAATGAAGAAGCGCGGATGAGGGGAGGGCGGGTGGACAAAGGGAGGGGAAGAGGAGGGAGTGGGGAGATGGGTGGAGAGGTAGAGGGAGTGGAGGGTGGGTGCGTTCTTTGGATTGTATAGTCTAAGGGTTTTCT